CAGCACGACACTGATATACATGTGTAGTGACTTTGGTGGTTCACCTGGCAAAGGTGGATCACAATGAGCTGGAGGTCGCTTCAAACATTGGGGAGTCTGGGAAGAAGGAAATATGCAGAGTTGTGTGAGTCTGGGGAGGGGGTGAGCTGGCAGAGCTGGGTGTGGCTGGTGAGGAAGGGAGCTGGCAGAGCTGGGTATGACTGGGGTGGTGGGAGCTGGCAGAGCTGGGTGTGTCTGGGGAGGAGGGAGCTGGCAGAGCTGGGCATGACTGGGGCGGAGGGAGCTGACAGAGCTGGGTGTGGCTGGGGAGGAGAGAGCTGGCAGAGCTGGGCATGCCTGGGGCGGAGGGAGCTGGCAGAGCTGGGTGCCATGGCAAAAGTGGGTGTGGGGCAAAAATCAGGGATTCTTGGTTGACATGGGGTTGACATGGTATTGCCTGTGAAATTCCAGAGGGCTGGCCCTGGTCAGCCCTGCCAGCCCACCATATTATATGGTCCCAAACCGATGAAAAAATTGTATTTTCATCGGTTTGGGACCGAAGAATTTGAGTGACACAGGTGCCTTGATTGGTCTCACCACAACGTTTTGCCGCAAGTATTGGCCAAATCTTTCATGGCATCAGTGAATGTATTTGCAGCAGCGGCAATAGGTTTGAAATTGGATGAGAGACATTGAAAGAAGAGGAAACACAATGGCAGATTTCTTTCTGAATATCTTCTCTTTCTTGTGTTCTTCAATAGAGATAGGGTTGAAGATTTCTTTGTGACCTCCTCCGGTTAATAGATCCACAAAAAATTGCTTCCATTCAGTCCAATTGTCCCAATTAAGTTTGAGTAATTTTGCCTTCTCTTGATGTTCATTGCCACTTGAGGAATTGTTCATTGCAGTTTTCTCCTGATGAGTTGACATCTAATTGCTTGACCTGAAAACACTGATTATTCTTACTTTGAGTCTTATAACTATCAAGTATTGACTCTCGCTACCATGTAAAAATGGTTAAATCAATACTTTATAGAAATAATATTATAAAACTCAATAGAAGTAATAATCTTAACAAAAATTAATGATGAGTAAGTATGATCAAATCAGATAACAAATCAACAAAGAAATGAAATGAAAAAAATACATCATGAGTCAGATCAGAATGCAACAAAGTTAAAATACAAAAACACAACAACGTCAACTTCTTTAACACAAGGATTATCACAACGAAATAGCCTGATAATAAAAAATAAGAAACGTTCAATAATTTGTAACAAACAGCGAGAATGTAACATGAATGACACTGCCTGCCCAGAAGCTAGATCTAGCTCCTCCTGAATGTTAGAAGTGGTTGGTTGATGAGTCAAGTATTGAAACTTGATTGATCAGCAATCAAATAGGACCTCGGAGGATTTTGATTGATGATGATTGAGATTGTGGTGAGCAACTGGTACGGAAGGGAAGAAGGAAAATGATTGGTGGAGAGTTGTAGTTGCTTGTCGAAGAGTAGAGTGACACAATCAATTTGATGATGACAAATAACAGCGCGAGCCTGAAAAGGTGCATAATCAAGTATGCATAAAAGAATGTGTGAGTTTGAATTTCACAACAATATCCACCAATCTAATTAAGGTACACTGCCAATCCTGAGAAAAGTTCTTTGTTTGTGTTACTCAACACTTCAACTGATATACCCAGGACCAGAACAAAAATGGGCCAGACACTCTTATGCACAGGTGTTTGTGTATGTTGTGTGTTTGCCTGTACCAATTTAACAAGTCTGCACAATTGGCAGTCCCAAAAAAAATTGAAGAATCAATTGTTTTGTCAAATTAACCCTTGAACTCACAGGTATATTACAGCTTTATGTCACTTGATAAATGCTTAGGTTGAACACCCCAATGAGCAAAATCCCCCAACAAACCATACTGCATGCAACAGCATTGTGGGTGGATAAAATTTGCAAATTCTTGTGGAGTAAATATTTTAAGGATTCTTAAGGGGCAGTTCACATTGGGAACTTGAAAATCAGTTTGCTGATGCTGATGATGAAATTGTCATACAATTCTTAGACATCAAGATTGAGGTGTTGCTGCTTTTTCTGATGAATGTGAGGTTTTGTGGAAATGTTGATGTCAGCATCAGCAAAGTGATGTCAAATTTCCCAATTTCAACTGCCCTATTTTGATGTTCAACAAATTTAGTGGGGGGGGGGGGTTGATAAGCGCACGCCAAACTGTGTACATGCCCAGCTTGTTGGAAGGAATCCCTTCCGAAGAGCTGGTACATAATCCAGCTTGTCGGGAGGGGTTCCTCCCCGGCGAGCTGGTTTGAAAGCCAGTGGATCCAGCTCGTCGGAAGGAACCCCTTTCCGACAAGCTGGATCATGTACGGCCAGCTTGTTGGAAGGGATTCCTTCCGACAAGCTGGCATGTACACAGGTTTGCCGGGAGGGGTTCCTCCCGGCGTGTGAGACCTTGGCCTCTCTAGGCCAAGGGGGTTTGAAAAAAAAAAAAAAAAAAAAAAAAAAAAAAAAAAAAACAGCGGGGCCGTCCCATAGGACCCATGCCTGGGTCCTATGGGACAGCCCAGGTCCTAAACGCATATAAATATGCGTTTAGGACCCATATTGGGCGTGCAGGCAGACACACCAACCTGCAGGCGAGTGGCGTGCCTGCCTGCACGCCATTCTGCAATGGCGTGCGCTTATCAACCCCCTTTAGTGGGTCATGAGCATTGAGTAAAACTTGGAGATTTTACAAGGGTCTTAGTTAAACGACTCCCAAAATTTGGAGTTCTGACTCCCAAATTTCGGGGATGTCCAGAGGACTGTCTGCGGACGGTCCTCAGGACGTCAAGCCCCCTAATTTTTTTTCCCCCGTTTTTTTGGAGTCGGTCCTCCAAACCCTTCGATTGGTTTGGGAGTCGACTCCCTAAGAAAATTATTATTATTATTTTTCTTTTTGCAACCCCCCCCCGGGGTTTTTTTGGAGTCAATACTCCAAAACCCCATCGGGGTTTGGAGTGGGCACTGCAAAAAAAAAAGAAGAACAGCGGGACCCGGGTAGATTCCTCCCGGCCGTTGAAAGGCACATGGCCGGGAGGAACCCTCCCGTGTGTTGAGAGTTACACTCTCGATGACCGAGAGAAATAACTCTTGGCCATCAAGAGTGTACACTCTTGATGACCGAGAGAAATAACTCTTGGCCTTTGAGAGTACACTCTCGATGGCCGAGAAGATTCCGGTCATCAAGAGTGTACCGACGACCGAGAGGAATCCAACTCTTGGCCATCAAGAGTGTTGTAGCTCGACTACGTAATCATGAGTAATGATTATGTCTCACTACAGTCTATGTCATGAATGACATAGACGATGATCTCAACAAGACATCCGACTGTCTCATGATTCTTCCTTCTCACGATTCTCCCTTTTCTTCTCTTTCTCTTACATAATGTGGACTATAAATAGCGTTGTATTTCTCTCCACATCATGCTTTTCTCTTCATGCAATTTAGCCATCACTTTCCATTTCCTCCTACTTACGTACTCGTGCCTCAATAGGTTATGAGCCTTTCTCCTCTTTCGTTTATTCCACTTGGTACGAGTTAACTTGATGGCAACATCTTTTAACACTTCAAAACCTTTTTTTTGGCGGTGCCATTATTAGTAGTCAACCTTTAACCTTTAAACAATATTTTCACATGGTGTCTCTATCAATGTCTCTCTGGTGAAGTCCCAAGTGTGGGCAAGTTTCTCTCTGTGAATATTGGGTGTTTTTTCTTTACTTCTGGGTGATATAACGGGTGATTAAGTGAAATAGTGTTTCTTGATACTGAGTTTATATAGTTTTTCTTGATACTGAGTTTATAGTAGTAGTGTTCCAACCTTCCCTCTCTTCTCCAACTGCCTCCGACTCATCTGCGAATACCGTTCTTTCTCCTCTTTCAATGTTTCTGCTATACATACTGCTACTGTTTTACCGTGGTTCCTCCATACTTCAACCTGCCTTATTTTTTCTCGACTATGCTCCCTGTGCCTCCTCCAATGATCCGACTTTCCTGGCTGCTCACGATGCCGTAGGATCTGTCTTCATTCACCATTCATGAAATCTTTGGCATTCAACACATCAAACAACTTGGCGTGGCTCTCAATCTTTTCGCGATACGGTGTAACTCTGACATAATCTTCATCACTTTTGCGCTACTGCACCTGATAAGTCCCCAATAGGCCTTGTGCTTTGCTGGCCGGTTCTGATGATTTACTGTCTGACCGTCTGTGTAGGACTGGCGCACAAAACTTGTACATTGGTGGCGGCAACTGTGGATGAATGACTTACCAGGTCCTGTTGTGTTGCGTTGGAAGGGGGTGCCCCTCAAATTGACGGCCTTCCGTGGAATTTGCTGGCAACCGATGTCTCTCCCGCTCTATTCGGCTCCGTTTTATCAGTGGTTCACTTCATTTGCAACACAGATCTTGCGGCTGCAACAACGTAAACCTGGCATCCATTTGCTTTATCAGTCCTCAGCTCTCTATGATCAGAATCTCGATCTCATCACGTCCTCCAAGAAGAATCCGAAGCACGCCTTTTTGGCTACCATCAACAAGGCTCTATGTTTGGTAACAACACTCTTCCTGGCTTTTCGAGTATTGGCACGGTTGCTTTCCTGGCAATGGCTACGGCGGTTGCTCGACCGATGCGAACTCAATTCACCCTGATTCATTATCAATCGCTCCGAAGGGGCTGACAGACTGGGGGGGTCGAGCTGTGCAGACAAGTCCAACCAACACAACAATCTTCCATTCTTAGCCATTAGCACTGTTTGGATCTGCTCCATTCCGCGAGTGATGTCCTGCACTGGGATTTCTGCAAGCGGGCGGTGGTGTGGTGGTATCAATCCAGCCTCTGCGACCACCGAGGCGGACTACCAAAATCTACGGGTTGCTTCAGCCTCCCCTGTCCTAATGGTCAAAGTGTATCCAATCATCATGCGGTACGAATGCCGTGGAGGGTACACTGGGGGGGTTGCGGTATTCCGACATGCCCGCTTCAATCAGACGGCTGGACGGACGCGGAGGCGAATTAGCTACTCAAATCTTACGAAATGAAGTCGCTCCGGTTCAAAACATTTAGCTCCCAGAATGGTGCCAAACTGGGGGGGTTGGAATGTACCGACGATTACAACTAGAGTTTTGATCTTAACTATTGGCAGCAATACCGGTCGAGCTTGCCGCTCAAGGTTGTGGTTGAATCACACCCCACGGCACCAAACTCCGAAATTGATGAGCAGAAAAGTCTCAAGGGAACGAGTCCCTCCACCACTTCGACGGCAGGGATCCCATCAAAGCAAATGTTCTTACAGCCTTTAGAGATTTTATGACTTGTTATTGGACTCAGAAGTGCTACAAACAAGGTGGAGGAGCAGATCAGTCGGTCGGCCCAATTACTGCATTCCTTGCAACAGTCGGCAACGGTGTTCAAGGCCATCCTCGATGTCCAATTGGCCGCTGTCCAGACCCAATCAACCAGTAAACTCCAGATCTTGGAGAACAGGAACAATTGCTTAGAAGATTGTTTGCCCCTCCGTAATCTCTCGAACCCTACAACGACAAACTCTCACCTCTCAATGTCTGATAACTCGCTCACTGTCTCTCAGTACCTTCAAACAAATGTCAAAACAACTACTGCCAATCGTCATTCAGACAACGGAGCTGTAGGCTCTTGATGCCATTTGGGCTGTCAACTGATTAACCCCGGACAGCCATCTAGAGCCTAGCAATGCACATCAGAGTATCAAATTCATCAAGACCGGCCGACATCCCTCAAGCGGTTCCAACCAGTTTTTTTTTGCGACACGATGCCCCCTGGTCTCAGACATAGGATGCAATTTCTCCACTTCCTTAATCGATAAAGGCATGGTCTTGTCGAGTGGGGGGGTGTTGTAGCTTGACTACGTAATCATGAGTAATGATTACGTCTCACTACAGTCTATGTCATGAATGACATAGACAATGATCTCGACAAGACATCCGACTGTCTCATGATTCTTCCTTCTCACAATTCTCCCTTTTCTCCTCTTTCTCTTACATAATGTGGACTATAAATAGCATTGTATTTCTCTCCACATCATGCTTTTCTCTTCATGCAATTTAGCCATCACTTTCCATTTCCTCCTACTTACGTACTTGTGCCTCAATAAAGAGTGAACACTCTCGACGACCAAGAGGATTCTGGTCATCAAGAGTGGACAACAACCGAGAGGAATCCTCTCGGCCGTTGAGAGTGTACACTCTTGATGGCCGAGAGTTATTTCTCTCGGTCATCGAGAGTGTACACTCTTGATGGCCGAGAGAAATAACTCTTGGCCGTTGAGATTGAATTTGTAGCCTTTTCAATGGCCGGGAGGAATCCTCCCAGTGGTTGAAAGGCACACGGCCGGGAGGATCCCTCCCAGCGGTTATTTTTTTTTCTCAGTGCCAACTCCAAACCCCCATGGGGTTTTGGAGTATCGACTCCAAAAAAACCCCGGGGGGTTTGCAAAAAGAAAAATGAAATTATACTTTTCTTAGGGAGTCAACTCCCAAACCAATTGAAGGGTTTGGAGGACCAACTCCCAAAAAACAGGGGAAAAAAAAAATTAGGGGGCTTGACGTCCTGAGGACCGTCTGCAGACAGTCCTCCGGACGTCCCCAAAATTTGGGAGTTGGAACTTCAAATTTTGGGAGTCGTTTAATTAAGACCCTTTTACAAAATGCTTCACTTGACAAACTGATCAACACCTTTAGCATTTTTAGAGTTTGATGGCTCATGTTTTTCTTTCCAGAAAGGTAGTACATATAGTCTGAGGATGTGTAGTTTGGGGCAATTCAGGACACCCTCCCCCCTTGTGACAAACACTCTTTGTATAAATCTGCTTTGCATTGTGAAGTCTGAAGGGCAAAGCAAGTCTGAGAATCCCTGGGGTTTTGAACGAAACAGTTGAGTGAAGTAATAAAATATTGCTGCAGTTTTTTCTGTAGATTTCCAGAAGTCTGAAAGTAGTTTTTGTGAGACATTGATAGATTGGTAAGACACTTTGGGAAAGGCTGTTGAGATCAATAGAGGCATTATAGTAGGCCGATTCGGGCGCACTTACATGATTCAAATTGAAGTGCAAGTTGACGATTTGATGATGACTGATCAACTCGGTGGATGGAAGAGATACCATTTCGGTTTGAAAACTGGTTTTACTTGAGGGGCCACGAGAACGTTTTTTTTTTTCTATTGATTTGATGAGGAGGCACGACGGGCTAGTTCGATCCGTCGATCGACCTCGACCAGCTTATTCAGAATGATAGAACGTTCAGCCTCGACGTTCCGTTTGAGTGCATGTAGACTAGAAGGAGAATTTGATAGGCCGATCAGTTTGAGAACCCGATCATTTGATGAATCCAAGCCAATTTTTGGCTTTTGTGAACCAGCTTCTTCCAACTCACTTCTGCAAGTGCCGATTGAGTTCCGAGAGTGGTAAACGAGCCAGGTCTGATTCTGAGAATGAGCCGTCCTCGGGATCATCAGTCTCAGTATTGGGCAGTGGCGGGATCGAGCTAGTACGAGTATCCGGTTGAAGGTATTGTCCTAGTAAGAATCCACCTGGGTTGAAAATTCACATCAGGGCATAACACGAAAAGATAAGGGATGATCATCAGTCTTCGAGATGGTTTTGGTGTGGGTCGACTGATTCTGAGCGATTTCCAATGGTGCTTGAGATTTGGACTGACCTGAGACGATAGCAATCGATGTCATCAGGGCCCCACGAACGGTAGACATGGTACTGCTCAAAAGTAGACAAGACTAGGTGAGTTAGTAGTGAATCATCTGAAGAGATAGAGCATCACTCACTGTTTACTTCAAGAGTGCCAAATGACGCTGAAGCACAAGAGGGGTCGACCGGGGGTCGCGAGTCTGGTCCGAATACATAGGGGGTCGCAGGGGATCGGATATCAGATATTCATTATGCAAATATGCAATATCCCAATTGACTCACCCAAGTGGATTTCTTTACATTTCAGCACAAGCAAGAACAACAACCACAAAATGGCTCAGAGTAACAACATCAAAAAACGGATGTTCGAAGGCGAAGAACCAGTTCATGATCAAGCAGGAGCAGAAAATAAAGATCAAGAGGTCAGAAAGTCGGCTATGTCTATCGGTGTAAAACATTTTGAGACCTAACAAATAAAAGCTAATTGATGTCTTTCGAATGCTTCTTGAAGAAAATCGAGGTGACCTTTGAATTCTGCGATCTGAATCCGATCGATTACCATGCGATCAAACATTTAATCTCTCAATTATTCCGAATTGCTCGACCCAAATCCTCCACAAATCTGGCACCAACAAGTAACCCGACACCGCCCTCGAAAGCAGCGTTGAAACCGGTCCTGGAGGATCTGGATGTCGGAGAATTGGCCGACTTGGTACTCAGTGATCAGAAAGAATGGGTCGGTTGTACGGTCAAATGTGATGAGGAAGACCCCGACCCATACGCATTTATTAGCGTCTTGGATCTGAAAGCATATCAGGTAAAAGAAACTCCCACTCTCACTAAATCCCAACTCATTCTAGGGGTTAATCATCACTCTTGAATCTTCAAAAACAAATTCAACAGGACAAGAAATCCATCCTTACACTTACCAATTACCTCACCTCCGCCTTAGCCTCATCGAACCCATCACCAGCACAAGCCGATGAATTACTCAAGGTCTTGAAAGAGTCACTACAGCCTGAAGGATCGGGGATTGGGCTAGTACTCAGCGAAAGATTGATTAATGTACCAGTATACATCATGCCTCAACTATTCACACAGCTCGGGAATGAAATCAAACACGCCCAATCAAAGGTATCACAATGTACCTCAAACCTAAAGATTTTCTACTCGGGCCACTTACTTTGCTTTGTTTCTTGAAAGAATGCACCAGGTTTCAAGTTTGATCGATTGTTAATCCCTTCACGAGTATTCACATTGTCTCCGAACCAAGATCCCAGTCAAGACGTCAACCCTACCTTCGATTCTAACACCTCCACCAACAACAACGTACAGAAACCCAAGAAGAACAAGACTGATGCAAATTTGAATCCGGATGATCCCGATCAAGTTGGTCTTTACCATCCAGAGGATCAAATAATCTCTCAAGTTGAGTTGTTTATTGTCCCCTTGATTTCGTTAGAAAGAAAAGCACTCAAAAAACGTGACAGAGAAAGTTACATGTTCGATTACTAACTCGCCCATCTCATGTCACAACAGTTTGCATCACATACGGTTCATTTCAGCTTACCGAAATCAAAGGAAGCACGCAAAGGAGGAGTCGATGAAGAGTTCGGGGTCGATCAACAAGGTCGATTGATGCTGATCGAGCTTTCTAAATGGGATCAAATGGTCGCTGCCCTCAAAGAATACATCGGGGATCCCGATCAAATGTGTACTTCATGAGAAAGTAATCAATAAAAAAAAACTTGCAAGGAAACCTCCTGTTTTAAATTAGGGTTTCTCTTTAGGGTAACTGTGTTACTCAACGTAACTAATGTAGCAGAAATTGGCGATAAACATGCAACAAAACAATATCTCCGTCATACTGCGACACGATCTTGCTTCCATTGTGACCGGAATGGGCACGATCTCGATCATTTTGGGGGGTTTAGAACTCCTCCTGATAGATGGGCATATCGGATAAGATCAGATGTCGAACTCGGGCTGCAGTTCATGAATATCTTTGCTCTACGCTTGCGTTGCGACGTCCATTTCTTTCAACTCAATCTCAGTTTTTTTTTCCTTTGGTAAAGCGAATCACAAGTAATAGAAGCATGCAGAGGAAGTCATCGGGCAGTTTTCTTGATCTGCAAATTGTGCTTGCAACTTAGCCAGTTCCAAAGTTTTTGTACAACTGTTGCTTTCAAGTATTGGTAAGCTACTTGCATGAAGGTGACCTTGCACCATTTGCCTTATGAGCTTAGCGGTGAAATTGATGCTCCCTCCAAGAGGTATCAATTATCAACCGGCTCTTACTTCATAGGTAGACGACTCCTCAGTGTTTCGATCATTCAGCTCCCAAGGATGCCGAGATTTAAGCAGTTTCGACCAGAATCTACAAAAAAAAGATTCATCAAAATCCATAGAATACAATCGCACGAAGAGGTTTCAACCCAACTCAAGGATTGGTTTCCACTCCTGTGGAGTCATCGGCATCTGTTCTTGAGAGGCGCGGGGTGCAAGAAAGTGTTGGACGGATTGGAAGCCACGTTCGAATCCAGCCCGCCATTTCCCAGTGTCGTCCTCGCCTCTTCGAGTCCACAAGAAGACCGGAGTTGGCGATCGACTGGAGGTAGGAATGGTGGGCAGAGAGAGAAGTGGGCCAGAAACGGAGACGATGGAGGCCAAGGGAGCTGCTGTCGATCTCGAGCGGGTCCATAGTAAGGCGAGCTCGGAGAGACAACTGGCCCCTTGGGCAAAGCCGAAAAGATGGATGTCTTCGGGCGTCCATCCGATCTCATCAGTCGTCAGTCTGTCGAGCATCCCGATCAGCTTGATCAGAGTCGAGCTTGGGTTCGGATGCGAGACCGGACTACCAGTGATGTCGAAGGACTCCCACCATTGGTAGGCTTCCTCTTCCAGAAACGGGACTCGTTCAAACGCCCGTATAGACATACATGCCGTCTGAGGCAACTTCAACTTTCGAGCCAGCTGACTAAATGGGATCTGAGTGTCACCTAAAGAAAGAAAGAAAGAAAAAAGCGGTCAGTTGAAATGCTCTGGAATCGAATTTAGAATTGCATGCTTGATGTATGTAGAGCAACAGGCTGACCTAGTCCATGGAAGAAGATCAACAGGTTGCTGTCGATACCATCGGCGCTGGGATGGTAGTCGAATACCGGGGCGGGAGAGAGCTGGGGGAAGCTCGGCGCCGGCTTCGTGGCGGCCGACCGACTGGCTGTGGGTGGATGAAGGTGCAAGTTCATCTTGTCGGAGTTTGTTGTTGTAAAAGTTTCTGGCCGAGGACTCGGTCAAACTACATCCCCCCTCTCTCAAACACTCCACATCGTCATCAACACTCCCCACATCAGCTGTCCATCTCCATCCTTTGCTCTAAAACATACCGCTTCACCGCAGCTCATACTACTGCGCGCTCCAGAAACAGTTCCATCGTATCCTCAATCCAAGGCAATTCCATCGTACTAACTACTACGTATCTCGATCAGACACGCTGGTCATAGTATTGCTTCGATACGCCTACATATTTCGTTCTGGCTCCTACCAACTTGTTCGCTGGCCGTGCTTTGATTTTGACTGGCAGATGGACTGTGGGTCATTCAGCATTTGATGTATGTAAGGAGTTCGGACTGTAGATTGAACTCATCGAATTCAGTACTGATTCGCCTGAAGTGCTTCAGTTGACTGGATGGACTGCGTGTTCACGTTATGAAGAACTTCATGATGGATGGGGTATAAAGTTCCGTCTTTGCACTCTAGTCCAATCAAACATTGATTTCACTATAGTCTAATCAAGCATTAAGCAAATTGTGCATCATCATCATCATAGAATTAGGAAAGCGCACCTCCCGCCCTACTCCGTAGACAGAAGTAGGTAAGAGAAGATGTGTTTGACCAGGTTTTTCGTCGGTCTTGTTGTGCTTGCTATAACTTGCAACGCAGTCGAACGCGGGGATTTGATCATTGAACCGTCCACCACGGCACATCCGATGGACTTGAATCAGCGTGTTGTCCCCATCCACCCTGACAGGCCACTTTTCGACTTGAACGCATCTCCACCCTCGTCTTCTTCATACTCGCAAGCATGCGATTCGAGTATCAGCCCAGAAGTGACCTCCACCCTTCAGCCGAGTTCATCTCTAGTGACTCTCAACCCCTCCTTGAATTCCTTGAATGTGAATGTTCAAGCAACGCCCTTGACTCCAAAAGAGCTTCGGTCTGGTAGAGACAAGTTCAAGTTACTCACAACTCACCAGACTGGCAGTGATGTGGCAGGCGCCTATGGATTGGGTGAACATGAAGAAAAGGGCCATAACCTGTCTTCAGCACCTGTTAGACATTTAGAACCAAGCGACTGGAACCAAGCCTCACAAAGTGGCGATACAGAAGATTTGAAAAAGCCTGATTCCTCCCCTTCTTCGCAAAATCTCCAAAACAGCAAAGGAACAACTTCCTGGGCTGGTCTAAAAGGTGAACCATCAACTAAAAGAAGAAAAACTTCCTTCGACTCTCCCTTAGATCTCAATGATCGATCTGGAGAAAACTCAAACTCTCAACGCTTGTCAGATCAGAATCAACTGGGTCAAACACATAACAGGGATGTGGATCCAGCAAAAACATCTTCTGCACGCAAACAACTGATTGAACTCAACCAGGAAACAGATGAGAAATTGTTGAAAGATGTAATTCTGCACTTGATACCTGCAGAATCTACCCTTAGACACTCAGTACCATCCCCCAATAGTTCAAAAAAACAATTTGGAATGTTTGAATTTGATGCAGGAGTGTTTGGGATTCCAGAAGAATTTCAACCAGTACAGAATGCAGTAAAATTACAGAGAATGATGGAAAGAATGTTTGTTGGAAAGCAACTCTACATTGATGAAAGCAATCCATACAAAGCACATGTGGATTTCCTTGATATATTTTATCATACTGGTAAATTGGATATCATTGGGAAAGGATCTGAGGAAGAAAAGTTGAAGAAAAGAGTCAGAAGGAAATTTCATAACCATCTCACCAAGAAAATGAAGTCAAACCAGGATGATTGGTTGAGCTTTTGGGGAGATAAAGCTCAAGTTTCATTCCAATCTAAGGAGGTGCAAGCCCAGTTGAATTTTGGTGTTAGAGGTGTCAAAGAGCATTTTCTGTTCTTCTTATACCATGTAGATATGCTCACTTCAATCATTGTTAAACCAAACCAAATGATATCAATAGCTCACAAGGGAACTCCAAAAGACAATTCACAGTATCTCAAAATAGCTATAGAAAATTTTCCAAAAATCGTTCAAGATTTGGGTATTTTGAACATTGCTCAAAATGGAAAGAAAACGTTTTCAAGGAGGAGGATGTTTGAACGTCTCTGGGAAACACTCCAACAGTGGACCACATCACATTCCCCAACTGATCCTGAAATTTCTGCAAGTCTATCATTCATTTCTGGACTGCTCTTTCACGGGAAAACCTCTAAAAAATTCCCAAGATACTTTTTTGATTTTGTGTTTTATAATTCATTCCTTCAAATGAACCAAAGAGTTTCAATTTATTGCAACCAGAAAAACCATCTTTTGGTTTGATTGTATTTCTTTCTGCAATCAAAAAAGCACCAACTCAAGGATAAACAGCCAGGATTTCAAGGCCAAACATTTGATATTTCTTTTTGTAAAAATGCTTGTTACAAGGGAAATTTCAGAATGTAAAACTCTGTCCTTGATTTAGTGAGACACCATTTGTCAAAAAAAGATTTTTCTGAAGGTGCTGAAAATAAAATCTCCTTTAGATTTGTGAAACACCTCCAATTTGTTTCTCATTTGGATCAATTTATTGTGTGCTTCCATCTCACAAACTAGCATGTGAATTTGAAGCACCATTTCAAGTGATTAAATATTTATGTTTTGAGTAAGATTAACACTTCTTTGCATAAAGGCTCACGTCTCCTATGCAACAAGGGATTTTCTTCCTTTCTTTGGGAAAAACTTAGTCCAACACCAGTTTGATTTTTTTTTTTTCATCTAAAACCAACCAAAAAAAGACACACATTTTCAACATATTCCTTCTTTTGTGCCACTTTCTTGAGATTTTGTTTGATATAGTGAGGTCCCAGTGAATTCACATTTTCAGAAAAAAAAGTAACATTTTATCTTTCATTGTATCACTGCTGAAATCAATTGATTGCACCCTCAGGTCCAATGATTCCTTGGAAATATCTGTCCAATGAGAGGTCATATGGGGCCTGTTAAAGCATTTGGCAGGTGATCTGCTTGGACAGGCAAGTCCAACCTCATGTTGTACAGCCATTTTACAAGAACTGCTTGGACAGGTCAGACCAAGGACCCATTGGACCGGCCGGTCTGAGCAATCATTTTGGGCAGTTTATTTTTATTGATTTGATCAATTGATGGAGAAAGATTACACATAGAACAAATTATATGCTCAATCCGATCCCCAAGTCTAAGATACACCATATTTTAGAATACTGCATTGGCCCACCAAAGGTATTCATTTGCAACAACTCAGGTTGACACACTCCAGTCCATGAAGTGCTGGAATCCTGTAGTTGTTGTGTCCTTCTTTCTTTTCTCTCTCAAATCAGTGTCACTCCTTTTCTCATCTGTCACTCTTTTCCTCTAATTTCTAGATGAATATTTCTTTTCACATTTTTCCCCACAACTCAAATTCAAATCACATGTTGTGTTTAGTTAAATACTCCTGCTTCAGAGTTCTAAAATGAAAAACCATCAGTCATCTGCAAACTGGTCCCCATGGTCACTACAACATACAATTACCTGGTGTGTGAGTGCTTTTATGGCACACACGCTAACATCTCTGAGATTAGACCTTGTTTTTTCATTGAGCCATTTAGCCTCAAGATTTGTTTCAGGTCATTCTTCCTTCCATTTCTTGTTGTCTCATTGTTAAATTTCATGAAGCATGGGTAAAAAAAGTGTAAGCATACAGCTAACCTGAATCAGGCACCTAATGGAGAAGGGTGTAATCAAAACCCCTCAAACCAACTAGAGCTGGCATTTGGTACCTGTTGGGTGGTACCTGTCACCCTTTCAGAACATTCCCTCTGCACCAACAGCCACCAATAATGCAGATGGAGGGTGAAGTGATGAAAAAGAATCAGTACTGCACCCTCCACCTGCATTTCTGGTAGCTGGCAGTGTGGAGGGCCTGTTGTGAAAGTGTGACAGGTACCCCCCAACAGGTTCCAAGTACTATCTCTAATACCAACACTAAAACTGAGACAATAAATGTATTATCCTCTCTGTTTTGAGCCTGATACTTGGTATCAGTACTTCCTTGGTTGGTGAGACAATCCACTGTTTCTTGGATTCAGTTGCTTTACCCATGCAAGAAAATAGATGTGTATCTGTTTTTTTTTTTCATTGCTACAACCAAATATCTTTTGTATTGAGTACATTTTTGGTGGTATCAGCCCTCTGAGACAATAGACAATCTGTGTTTTGCTTTCCAAAGACAATACATGTGTATTTTCTCAGGAAAGTGAGACAACACAAGGATTGAGATTTTTGGGCATTCAAATTCTTTGACAATACAAAGAAACAACTGATACTATCTTTTCTAGTCTTGCTTTCAGTGTTGCTCAAACCAATGGTGAAATCGCTGCGCTACGCTTCTGGAAGCGCCTTTATAGCGTAGCGCAGCCCTCTTGCGCTACTAGGGCGCTACCATAGCAGATGTGCAGCGCATTCAGCTACAACTACCACTAAATATAGCGTTGTTGCGCTATTGGCTGAGGACCAGAATTGATAGTGTAGCCCAAGATCCTGCGCTAACGCTACAGGATAGCGCAGCATAGCCAAAACCTGCTATTCAGGTGCTAACTGGCGCTATGTGTGCGCTAACAAGCAGAAGCCGCTATTTCAGCACTCCATGAGTACTAGCTCCTGTGCAGCCACAGTTCAGCGGCTTCTAAACCCTATCTTCCCACAACTTTTGCTTCTTGGTGCCTCATGTCCCAACATACCTCCACACAGAGTCCAACAACCAATCACCCTGCTTCACCCATCCACATCACCATCGTGATGCAAACCAACAATAGAGATGTCAGCAGGTACCTGTTTGCAGGTACCCGGTACCCGTTTGCAGGTACCTGTTTTCCAAAGCAGGTACCCGGAAACAGGTACCGGGTGCGGGTGCGGGTGTCAACATTTGCGGTAAAAAAAGGCAGGTACCCGGGTACCCGCCTTACACCCGCCCTGGGAATGCTTCCCCTGAAGAATTTCATTTATCATTGGTGGTCCAAAACTCCCTTTTTTGGGTGTGATGGGCTGCACAAAGGTGTCAGCAACCCATGTAGGACACCAGCTGGTGTCTTACATGTGTTGCTGAACTAATCTGGTTGCTTTGTTGAGGCTGGAGGGTTCCCTCCGGCCTTTGAGATGGTGTACAGTCTTGATGACTGGAGGAATGCCTCCAGTCATCAAGACGGTGTACAGTCTTCATCAATGGACATTGAATAAGGCAAATGAGGCCAAGAAAAAGGGTAAAGCTAAAGATAGATCAGAGAGAAGATAAAATTCAAATTGGTGATGGAATAATTTGTTTTTCTTTATTTCTTTATTTTTATTTTATTCTTACTCATATATCTAGTGAATATCAATCTTATATTTACCAAGTCATGCAGAAATTCAAGGGTGAGATTTCTGGGTATATTTGCCTGCAAAAATGTGCCAGGTACCTCCAGTTACGTCGCAGGTACCCGGGTACCCGCCCTGGCTG